AACGAATTAAATGAAACTAACTAAAACCAGAATCGAGCTTTGACAAAGAAACCGAACCTACTCTCTCATAGGATTCTCGAACCACATTGAAGTCCCTTGAGAAGAATATAAAGTATTTCATTCCAAAATAAAGTAACGTCTTTCCCTACACATCTTGAGGAGCATATACGTTTATAATAAAAACTAAATCTTAAAAAAACTTCATTCTTCTTCCATAATTAGAAAAATGATCATTACATCTAATATTACACTTGGCAAACACATAAGGATCACATATAGAAATGATACCACATGATCTTTCCCTCACACTACAACATGCATAATCAAAATGATAATTCCAGATCACGTAGGCCTTTGAGTTTGATCAAGTCTAATCTGGATACTCACGACTCCAGAATGAAAAAAATTAATCCCACGCTAAACACAAAGTTTCATAATCAACCGCCTCTCAATAGCTTCTCCAATATCACATGCATTTAGTGACATAATATCTTTTATCCACCCATTTCTCACCTATGCTATTGATTAAAGTTGTCAAAGATAGGAAATAACCACTCATATCATGTCTCAAAGATGTACTAACTCAATATTACGTAATAATTCATTTATTAAATACATACCACATTTTTTCCCAAATTTGGTTTTCTTCCTTTTTACACCTGATTGGTATGGCTAAAGTCATGAAAAAAAAAGAGTTGCATGCCTATCGGCAACCCTACTAACCACTAAGTGAATCTCCTCCTCTAGATACAGATCGGGCAGTATTGGTTTAACAAATTGGACCCCCCAAATCTAAGAGGTATCGGGCAGCATTGGTTCAACAAATCAGACCCACCAAAGCCAAGGGGTATCAATGGTGATAGAGGGTTGTGTGTCTCGTACTCAATAGCCTAAAGCTCTTTATACGGTTGAACATGTTACAACATGCATCCTTCCAATTTACTATCTTTTTCTAGTCCTTTATTTTTTTTGTTCTCCTTATTATGTAAATTAACTACAACAAAAATCATATTAAAGGGTTGTATCGATCAGATACACTCAAATATAATAAACAAAAACAAACAAGTAAAGAACACGGAAAATTCACTAAATTGTCTTTCACCAAGAAAGAGTTTGTTTTCACTAAGAAAACGGGTTGTCACAAAGACGTTTAAAAACACCAAGTTGTTCTACATTAGGCTTTCACCCTAATGTTGTATATATACCAATCTAATCTAGTGAATCATTCATTAAATTGATTGTATCTAATCTACATATAAACAAATCCTTATCACCAAGATATTGAATTTGTTATCTATTGTATATTTACATAGTATAACTACATAATATACAAAGATATTTTCTTAATATATATAAATGATATCTTCCTAATATACAAATATTACATTAAATTATGGACTTCATGCCAACAATGAACACTCTTTAGCTGACGCTGGCGCTGGTGCTGACGTTGGCACTGGCAATGGTGCTGGTGGTCAACGTGTAATTGTGTCTGACTCATCAGATCATAAATTGTGACTTTAAAATCTCCTCATATCTGATGATGTCAAAACTAATCTTCAAAAAATTCTTCAGCTTTAACGAATGATCCCCCTTGAGAAGGTGTATGACACGTCTCGTTTTTGGTTATCAGCGGTAAAGATAGTAAGAGCAGCGAAAACAATCAGCGTATCATGAGTTACAGCGAACTAATAGACGTTAAAGAGATGATAGAATGTTGATATTAGCTCCCCCTTAGATTCCCCCCCCCCCCCCTCTCAGATAAACAACATTTGAGTTTTGCTCCCCCTTAGATGTGTAAACTTCTTTCAAGAGTGTCAACTATGAATGATTAAGTAACAATGAGTGTCTACTATGAATGATCAAGTAACAATGTAGCAGAACTAGACATTTATCCTCCTTTTTTACGGCACAATAAACCTTGCCTCTTTTTTTAAGAGACAAAAAAAACCTAAAATAAAAATATAAACGTTAAATAAAGTTAGAGGATAAGATAGGTGTTTCACACTATTGTGTTGTTACAATAGTAGATCATTTACACGTGATTGCAAAGTCTTATCATCATATGGTTTTATACGTTGAATCATTAATATATTTTATTAGAAGAATAAATGGTGAGAGTGGGTAGGTGCGTGTAATACATCATGGTACGTGATATACTTGTTGACATAGATTTTTCGAATTCTCATCAACGTCTGGCTTCATACACTTAACATAAAATTCTAAAGAAAAATATTTGGTGAGAATGGATTGGTGCTTGTAATAAGATGTTGTGTTTTAGCTTAACCCTCGGCATATAGTTTCGAACTTTTATCAGTTATTGCTTTTACACAGTGAATTATCAAGTTCTTATAAAGAGGACTTTGTGGGAAATAAGTAGGCTGTCTCAATCACACTGAGGTGAATCGACATGAATCATTGGTAGGGAATCACTCATCAGCAAGAAGTGGTTTAATCCTTACATCATTGAGGTAGTTGCAGTCTAAAACCAAAGATTAACCATCAATTTGTAATGGCACCATGTCATACCTCAGTCTAGGAGGTTAAGGACATGAATAACCCTTTGTTATTTAAGGACCATACAAGTATATTTTACGCTAATGACTGTGCAATCAGGGTAAGCCATTGAGTTATGCTCAACGTTTCACCAGAACATGAGACTTGATACATACGGTAAGCATGCTTCCAGGGACGGAGTCAGGTAAGATTCATTCATGGTTTTTGTTATTTTCAATATTTCCCAGTAGGTCCCTAAGCTTTATTTTCACTTCATGTGAGTCCATAATAGCGAAAGTACCCTAACTGAATTCTTTTTTCCATTGAACTTATTCTTATGACTTTCTTATTGCATGTTTACGACATGATTGTTTCAAGAATGGACATAACAAGTTAATTGCTTGCCTCAATGATCTTTCATAATCTAGGGTACTATTTTTTTGATTTATATGACTTTCTTATGGTGTGATTATTTGTTTTCCTGAAGGTTGTAGAAAACACTCGACGATAGCTAGTCGGTGGACTGATGTTAAGAGATTAATGGGCTAGACGGTGATTAATACGGGGATTAAGCGGGGACCCACCACCACCCATAACCACAACCACCCACTACCGCCACCAACCAACCACCACCACCATAATTAGACTCACACCACACACTACAAACAACCACCCTTCACCCACAACCACCACCCACCACCAAACACCCACTACCCACCACCACCACCCACTATTGCCGCCTTCCACCCACCACCTACCACCACTATAAAGAGCCCCCACCATCTATCACTACCTACCACCACCCCTACACCTTGATGCATTTTCTAGGTTACACATCAAATTTTACACATAAACATTTATGGGTACATGCAACCTAGAACTTCTATGGCATGTTACTTTTATAGAAACATACTTTATGAAATATTTATAAACCCTAGGTAAAATCGAAAATAAGTATGATAAACATACATGTAGCAATAAACAATTTGATGTTATAATCCTTATTGTAACTCTCCTTAGAAAGCCTAGATCTAATAGTGCGGTAGCCGCTAATGTGTCACACCCGAACCATAGGTAAACCCTAGGATCAAAAATTATAGAGAGTGAAGAAGGATAATATTGAAAATTCTCTTAGAATTGCTAGCTTTTTGCAAGCCATCTAATGATCCTTATTTATAGTTGTAGGAAATCCTAATTTGAATATTAAAATAATAATATTTTAACTTGTTTCAAATCAGTTTCCATATCAACAAATAGAGGCTTCCAGAAAACCTAAAGAGGGCTCCTAAAATCGTCCCTTATTGGAGGTTTTATAATGCCTCCCTTGTTCAGCTATTAAACAATTACATTATAACCGTTACACCCTTAATTAATTCAAACTAATAATTAAATTATTTTTTATTAATTATTAACTATTTCCAATTATTATATTAATCATATAATATATTAATAAACTTTTTATCTCTCTCTCTCTCTCTCTCTCTCTCTCTCTAAATATTCGTCATAACTATTTCTGGTTATGATGGTAACCCAAAAAGGAATTTGCTTTTATTAACTAAAAATATACCGATTTAGTTAAGACCTTATAAACTTAATCCAATAGTCTCGCATTTAAATAAGTCGCCAAATATAACTGTAGGTATAAATCTTTGAATAACCAGTAAAGAGTGTTTACCAAAGACATTGCCAAACTCTGATAAAATCAGACGTTAGCCCTAAGATAAGTGATCAACTATTCCTTTGTTCTACAAGATATCATATGGATACAAGACATGGATACAAATCAATCTCATAATCCAAGATTATATTTCTTGAATTCCGATTTATGACGACTGAATTCAAACTACTAATTGAACACATCAACTTAATTCGGGCTCTTCCCATTGTTGGATAAGTTTTCTAAGTCCATAGCTATACTTGGTATGTACTTGACCCGACTTGGCATGGTCCATTTGGGTTTCACTTCACCGAAACAATTTGTATGGATAGCCTTTTGAGAATAGTATATTTATGATTTATCAATATGTTATAATACATCAATATGAAATCATATTATTTAATTAGTATTGATCAAGAATTAATTTAGTGATAAAAAACTAATTAAATATGGACTCTTATATATATATATATATATATATATATATATATATATATATATATACTAGGTTACAACCCGTGGAATCCACGGGTAAAAAATTTGTAAAAAAATTATATTATTAATAAGAAATAAATTTGTTTCACATTTTTATATTTATTATTTAAAATTAATATTAATATATATTTGTACAAAAATATACAAATTTGAATAGATGTTAAAGAGAAAGACAAGCAAACATTAGAAAAGTTAAATACAAAGATAACTAAAGTGAAAGTTTGTCCGGTTAAGGTTTTGGTAAATGTAAAAAACCTTGGAGTTGAAGAAATTTCCTTTTGTTACACTTTTAAGTAGAGCATTCAACAACCACAGTTGCATCACCACTATCTGGACCGCTAAAAACATATCTTCAATCAACTTTCTTTTCACAGTTTGAACACGCATCATAATACCAATCAATATCTTGTCGTATACCGTAAATTGTACCAACAATGATAAATTTCCCGACCTAAAAAAATATAAAATACAAAAAGATTCATAAAAAAACAATGCAACTACAATAAATGAATAATATAAAACAAAACCACATTAAATAAACCAAATTATTCACATACCTCTTGTGGTTCTAGCAAATCGACAATATTTTTTACTTTGTGATTATTCAAAAAGTCTTCATATTCATTGTATGATTGAGAGCTATCAAAAGTCAAAGAAGAAGAAGGGTTTTGAATTCTTCGTAATCCAACCAAGCTGTTTTTTTATTTAGGAAAATAATTATGAAATTAGTAAAATTATTAAAAAGAAACAAAATAAGAATGAATAATTAAAATAGTTTGTTACCTATCTGTGAAGGCCACAATTTCGGGAAGATCAGCATTTATGAACATACGTGTGTGATCAAAATAATTGTTAACAGAAGGAATTCCTGTTGAAAGAAAATAAATTAGTCAAAATAATGAGTAATAAAAAAGCGTAAAATAACGAAAGTTGCCTTTTATAAGAACTATACCGTTATAGACATTAAGTCTTGCAAACTGCAAAATAATAACCACACGACCAACTTGCTTATGAGCTTCAAGATAAGAAATCATTTGGCATGCGAAATCTGCAAACAATGTGACGTTAACCTGCAAACCTCTGCAGAAACAGCAAAGGTTAAATGTTTATATAATAATAATAATAATAATAATAATAATAATAATAATAATAATAATAATAATAATTTAATATATAATATAATAAAAGTTATAATTACTCTAAGTTTCTAATTTGTAAAGTTAGCCTATGTTTCGATATGCTAACATCATGGGAATCCAGTTTGCCTAACGAAACAACTTCACCTATAACATCTACAAAATGATAATACAATATGTCAAATTTATGTAAAATTAAAAAATTAAATATAAAATGCAATAAAATAGGGGAAAAGTACCAATTGAGATATTAGATGTAGTTGTCGCAGAGATAATGGTTTCAAACGATACAAAACAAAACTCATATTTTTTTTTGGATTGAAAACCAAGACACTCATGAACAGTTGTTTGTCCATGCAAGTTTAACTTAGAGGTTACATCACTTATTTTAAAAGTGTATTTGTTTGGAGCTATAATGGGGGATCGGATGTAAATAGCGTCATCTTCTTTCAACTTGGAGTCAAACCTTTGGAAATCTTTTCAGTAGACATTGGTTCTGATTTTTGTACCCTATTAATATATTGTAAGAATATTATATATATTGCTGACCAATTGTATATTAATTTATTTAATTTGGTCAAAGTTGAATCAATTATTCGACCATGAATGAATTTGAATAATATTATTGGAATGAGCAAATACAAAAAATGATTTTGAATAATGTTATTGTAATAGGATATTTTACCATTTCATCCATTAATATCATTTCAATTGATTTCACAATAGGGGGGTCAGATTCGGAAAATGATCTCCACAACCGGATGATACACACTTTTAGTGTGTAATCATCCCTCATATTGTCTAAGTCGCTGATCAAAGTGATATTTCTAGCTGCCATTGTCACTACAACAGAAAGACATACAATATTAAGGATAAATAATGGAAGAAAATTACACATAGAAAATGTAAACACAAACATAATTACAATTATGTCCGTAGAGTAGTAAACATATAAAAACAGATTTGGCCATTACAATTAAAAAAAAAGGCAGGATGAACGGGCAGGAGAGATTTGTCCTTTAGAATTAACAAAAAGAGAAAATGAAAGTATGTTGCTATTGATTGTAACGTTTGTTAAAGAATGCATGCAGGGGTAGGGGTATATTCGTCCAATTTGATCTACTTCATAGTTAAAGAAGGCATAAAATCGATATTGGAGTATATTTCATATTGATCAAATATAAATAAAGGGTAAAAAGGGTATTTTACCAATAAAAAAATAAGTAGCAACAGCAGACATATTTGGCCTTTAAACTTAGCAATCACAGAAAATGAAAGCATGCTGAGAAGTACAATTTTTTTTATGGTTTCTAAATAAAAGCAACGCCAAATTGAAAAGTACAATTTTCCTATTGTTTGATATTGTTTGGTTCCTGTTTTTGGGTTTTTTTATTTCTGCTGGGTAGTTGCCATTGTAATTACAACAGAAAGACATACAATATTAAGGATAAAGAAAGGAAGAAAATTACACATAGAAAATGTAAACACAAACATAATTACAATTATATCCCTAGAGTAGTAAACATACAAAAACAAATAAACACTAAGTCGGATATACGATCAAAAATTTTAATTTTTTATTTATGTAAAGTCAATTAATGTATTTGAAAGATTCATCGGAACAGTAAAAAACACTAACTCGGATAGAAAAATATAAAAGAGTGTTCCAATGTCTAAAATACACATGAATAAAATAATTATGTTCAACTGTTTTTTGTCATTGCTGAAGGGTATAATGGTAAATTTTTTGGTTGAAACTGTATGCATGCACCTATTTCATGTGCATTTGATATACCACTTTTTTTAATTTAATCATATTTGATACATGTTTTTTCATATAGCTAATATACTCATAACACGAAAAAGAAAAGTACACTACTTTATTTGCACATGAAAGGTAATTCTGTCGAATTATTTTTGATATATCTATGCATAATTAGAATCTTTATAATCATAATTGTTAAGTATTCAAACTTTCATCAGTAGACACAATTATGACACACATATAAAGGAAGGCTTAAAGTACAAAACACATATCGAACAAAAAGAAAAGTTTTTGCTTAAAAGTACAATACACATGAATAAAATAATTATGTCCAACTGTTTTTTGTCATTGTTGAAGGGTATAATGGTAAATTTTGGGTTGAAACTGTAGTAGAAAGGAAAATGTTACAATCAAAATCAATACGAATAGAAATAAAATTTTATATTTATGTTTTATGAGTACGGGGGCATTTCTGTCACGTTTTATAGAAATGAATTCTTCATTCAGTTTTTAATTAATATGTTTTTTCTTTTTTATTATTAGTTGATTGTATCTTGTATTACTTGACTGGTAGGTTCTATTTTGAATTAAGGGGCAGTTCTGTCATGTTTCATAGAATTACATATTTGTCATTGATTTGAACCGGTTTACACCAAAAACATGTTAATCAAAGGGAAATAGGATATGATGTAGGCTTAAACAGAACCATTTTTAGTTTTTAACATTACTGAATACGGAATTTTCGTTTTTGCATTACCCTACTACTATTTACTTAGCATTAAACTTTAATTCAATGTCACTTAATATGTTCATCCATGTTTTATTCATGTAGGTTTTTTATACAATCTTTACACGAAAAACGTCTATCTAAACATCAAGCATATGAAAGTGGACCAGGTGTAAAAAGTATTTCATATTTCCTAATGACCGATGTTTAGCAGTTCGTAGTAACAACCAGATGTTTAGAGTAAAAAAAACAATGATAAGCAGAATTTAAGTAAACATATAAAAAAAGAATTTGTCCTTTACAATCAACAAAAAAAAAAGGCAGGATGAACGGGCAGGACAAATTTGTCCTTTAGAATTAACAAAAAGAGAAAATGAAAGTATGTTGTTATTGATTGTAACGTTTGTTAAAGGATGCATGCAGGGGTAGGGGTATATTAGTCCAATTTGATCTACTTCATAGTTAAAGAATGCAAAAAATCGATATTTGAGTATATTTCATATTGATCAAATATAAATAAAGGGTAAAAATGGTATTTTACCAATAAAAAAATAAGTAGCAACAGCAGGACAGATTTGGCATTTAAAGTTAGCAAGCACAGAAAATGAAAGCATGCTGAGAAGTACAAGTTTTTTTTGGTTTCTAAATAAAAGTAACACCAAATTGAAAAGTACAATTTTTCTATTGTTTGATATTGTTTGGTTCCTGTTTTTGGGTTTTTTTTTCTGCTGGGACATTTATTTTTTGTGGTTTTTTTGTGTTTTTGTTTTTTTGGAAGCTCTTTGATGTGTTTTTTTTTTAATTTTAATGTTACCCGAAGATGTAAGATTGGTCAACTTAATTAAGTTATAAAAATATCAAATTAAGAGTATATAATAATAGGATCCAAAAGTGGATAAGATTGACAGATATAAATAAAAGGTAAAAAGGGTTTTTAAGGGGTAGATAGGTTGTTAATATCATCTTCTTGGGCGTACATGTATATACACTACAAAGAGAAAACAAAAGATGAAAATGCCCTCCAGCATTTGATCCAGTGGATAGAATGGATAAGCATGAAAAATCAAAATTAACAACGATTGATGAAGGACGAAAATGCCCTAGCCATCATTATTGTTTGATTAGCAATCTGAAAGTAGGTTCATACACTCGATGAGTAGGAGGCCCAGAGTGCAGAATTCCGAGTTTTAATGCTAGAATTTGACTAGAATCGTTACCGTAAACTATTTTGGACTTATAAAAATTGTTTTTGATGTGGTAATGATTATGCTAATCAATTTTCAAAGGTTATTATCAAAGTTTCAAGTTTTATATATCTTTATATGATTCTTGAAAACTGTTGATATGAATGTTCATGCTTATGAGTTTTGGTAGATCATAGGAATTATTTGCAAATTGTTTGTTAGTTTAATTCTTGATCTGAATGCCAATTAATGGACTCCATAAGTATTCCTCAAGTTATGGAATTTCAAAAAAAATTTCTTTAAAACCATTAAAACTCATAATTCATAGAAATGAAAAGTTTTGAATAGTTTCAAAACTTGCCCTCAAGTTTTGGAATTTGTAAAGTCACACACACATTAATACTTTAATTCCAGACCCTAGAGTTTTAAAAGTTAAAATTCAATCCATATACTTTATAGTATTATAAATTTATATATATATATATATATATATATATATATATATATATATATATATATATAAGATCAAGTCAGTCTTACTGTTAGTAGGCCTCATTCACGAAGTCGGTCTATAAGGTGGGTATAAGGTTATTGCCTATAAAATGACAGCTTAATGGGTGTCCACTCTCACCCACCGCTTCTTTGACTGGTGGAGGGTCGTTAGCCAAATGGGTAGGACAAAAATAATAGTATTCTCATTAAAAGTATAATGATGATGATAAACTAACTAAATCTTTTATAAATTCTCAATCTTAGTTACTTTAGGAAAATGTGAATTTGGTGCTAACCCATGAAATTACACTTTGTACCTTACTATGTCGATGGTGGAGCATGTGTGGTTAACTGGCACATTAACTTGGACTAGTAAGAGTGGAAAAATGTAACTTAATGTTTATCAAAGATCTGTGGAGCGCGTGTGGTTAACCGGCACATCTATTAGGTGATAAAGTTAACGGTACCAAGTTAATTTGCATAGTTATTCACACTTTGTTTGTGATCCTCGGCATCCCAGTCATAAACTTGAAATGGTACAATAGAGATTCAAACATGGCATTGAAAAGTTCAAGGAATCTCAAAAGATCTAGGAGTTTCAATCCAATTAAAACCTAATATTTATTTCATTTTTCATGATGGAAATTGATGAATCGTCATTCGCCTACATTCAAATATTTTATAGCTTGGACTACGGCATCCCTCTTCCAAGTTATAAAGTATTGTGTTGGGTCCTAGCCTTAATATTACATTTGGGTGTCTTATTAAGGAATCTTTATCTAATCTAAACTTGTCTTTCTTCTTTTCAGATGTCTTCCAACAATGTTTCTGGCTCAAACCCTACTGATTCCTTCTCTCTCATGAATCTTTGTGGGAGAGTGATCTTTGATGGTTCCAACTTTAATGATTGGATCAGGAACATCAGGATGGTCACACATTATGAGGACAAGGAATATGTCCTCGACAAAGAGCTAAAGGAAATCGATGATCCTGCTGCTACTCCACAAGAGATCGTTGACTTTAGGACTCGTGGGAGAGATGCCACCAAGGTGACATGTATCATGTTGACCACAATGACAGATGAACTCCAAAAGTCCTATGAGGACTTTTAACCTTATGAGATGCACATGGACCTGGTGGATAAATACCATCAGAGTGCTCGTCAAGATAGGTATGAAATCATCTCTTCAATGATAACAACCCGAATGAAGGATGATGTATCCATCACGAGCCAGATGTAGAAAATGCAAAGGTTTGTGGACCGGTTGCTAAAGTTAAATGTGAACTTCCTTGAGGAGTTGGCTATTGATATCATACTGCAAT